AAAACCCTCCTGTAAAACTTAGATCTAAAAAATCCGAGCTCAAGAACTTCAGCAGTAGAGTAAAACAAACATGTTTCGGCCGTTAAGGGGCGACCCTAGCAGGCCTTCATCAGTGCTTGAAACGAGCTGCCACTCACTCAGTTGGCCTTCCCTGCCTGTCTGCCCTATTGCAACCAGCTTCCTCGTCTCAGTGTTTGCCTGTGCCTTCCTTCCCCCTCCTTTCTCACCCCCAGGGATGCATCAGCGCCCCCACTCTCAGCATCCTCTCCATCCTCCTGGAACGAGCTTCACAGTCTCAGTGTTTGCATGCACCTTCCTCCCTCCTCCCCCCTTCCCTCTTCCCCCTTCCCGTTCACCTCCAGGGATGCATCATCGCCCCCACCCTCAGCATCCTCTCCATCCTATTGGAACGAGCTGCCACCCAGTTCGCCTTCCATTGCTCGCACGCGCACATCATCGAGTCACGCGCTGGCTTGGCTCAGGTGAGGCATCGGCAGGCTGCGCCGTGTCATGTCATGTCATGTCATGGTATGTCATGGTATGTCATGTCATGTTAAGTCATGTCATGTCATGGTATGTCATGTCATGTCATGGTATGTCATGTCATGTCATGTCATGTCATGTCATGTCATGGTATGTCATGTCATGTCATGTCATGTTATTTCATGTCATGTGATGCCATGCCGTGCCGTAACATCACATACCATGCTGGGTTGTTTGTACCATGCCATGTCATTCCGTACAATCCCATGCCATGCTGTACTGTGCCATGCGTTCCCATGGCATCCCGTGCCCTGTTATCCCATTCCATCACATGCCATGCACGGGGCCTCATGCATGCTCACTCCCCTGCCCACACGCACAGGCACCATCAGAGGACGCTGTTCGGCTGGCCCAGCAGCTGTCTAAAGTTAGTTTCCGAGTCAACTCAGAGAATCATGCCATGCCATCCCATACACGCTCACTCCCCTGCCCACACATACAGGCACCATCAGAGGACGCTGTTCGGCTGGCCCAGCAGCTGTCTAAAGTTAGTTTCCGAGTCAACTCAGAGAATCATGCCATGCCATCCCATACACGCTCACTCCCCTGCCCACACATACAGGCACCATCAGAGGACGCTGTTCGGCTGGCCCAGCAGCTGTCTAAAGTTAGTTTCCGAGTCAACTCAGAGAATCATGCCATGCCATCCCATACACGCTCACTCCCCTGCCCACACGCACAGGCACCATCAGAGGACGCTGTTCGGCTGGCCCAGCAGCTGTCTAAAGTTAGTTTCCGAGTCAACTCAGAGAATCATGCCATGCCATCCCATACACGCTCACTCCCCTGCCCACACATACAGGCACCATCAGAGGACGCTGTTCGGCTGGCCCAGCAGCTGTCTAAAGTTAGTTTCCGAGTCAACTCAGAGAATCATGCCATGCCATCCCATACACGCTCACTCCCCTGCCCACACGCACAGGCACCATCAGAGGACGCTGTTCGGCTGGCCCAGCAGCTGTCTAAAGTTAGTTTCCGAGTCAACTCAGAGAATCATGCCATGCCATCCCATACACGCTCACTCCCCTGCCCACACATACAGGCACCATCAGAGGACGCTGTTCGGCTGGCCCATCAGCTGTCTAAAGTTAGTTTCCGAGTCAACTCAGAGAATCATGCCATGCCATCCCATACACGCTCACTCCCCTGCCCACACGCACAGGCACCATCAGAGGACGCTGTTCGGCTGGCCCAGCAGCTGTCTAAAGTTAGTTTCCGAGTCAACTCAGAGAATCATGCCATGCCATCCCATACACGCTCACTCCCCTGCCCACACATACAGGCACCATCAGAGGACGCTGTTCGGCTGGCCCAGCAGCTGTCTAAAGTTAGTTTCCGAGTCAACTCAGAGAATCATGCCATGCCATCCCATACACGCTCACTCCCCTGCCCACACGCACAGGCACCATCAGAGGACGCTGTTCGGCTGGCCCAGCAGCTGTCTAAAGTTAGTTTCCGAGTCAACTCAGAGAATCATGCCATGCCATCCCATACACGCTCACTCCCCTGCCCACACATACAGGCACCATCAGAGGACGCTGTTCGGCTGGCCCATCAGCTGTCTAAAGTTAGTTTCCGAGTCAACTCAGAGAATCATGCCATGCCATCCCATACACGCTCACTCCCCTGCCCACACGCACAGGCACCATCAGAGGACGCTGTTCGGCTGGCCCAGCAGCTGTCTAAAGTTAGTTTCCGAGTCAACTCAGAGAATCATGCCATGCCATCCCATACACGCTCACTCCCCTGCCCACACATACAGGCACCATCAGAGGACGCTGTTCGGCTGGCCCAGCAGCTGTCTAAAGTTAGTTTCCGAGTCAACTCAGAGAATCATGCCATGCCATCCCATACACGCTCACTCCCCTGCCCACACATAGAGGACGCTGTTCGACTGGCCCAGCAGCTCGCTCAAGTGGGACGCACGTTCAATGGCAACGATGCATCTGACGACCCAGTGAGTTTCCATGTCAACCTTTCAGCATATGTCCATGGGATGGGATGGGATGGGATGGGATGGGATGGGATGGGATGGGATGGGATGGGATGGGATGGGATGGGATGGGATGGGATGGGATGGGATGGGATGGGATGGGATGGGATGGGATGGGATGGGATGGGGTGGGATGGGATGGGTTGGGATGGGATGGGATGGGATGGGATGGGATGGGATGGGATGGGATGGGATGGGATGGGGTGGGGTGGGGTGGGATGGGATGGGATGGGATGGGATGGGATGGGATGGGATGGGATGGGATGGGATGGGATGGGATGGGATGGGATGGGATGGGATGGGATGGGATGGGATGGGATGGGATGGGATGGGATGGGATGGGATGGGATGGGATGGGATGGGATGGGATGGGATGGGATGGGATGGGATGGGATGGGATGGGATGGGATGGGATGGGATGGGATGGGAGGATGGGATGGGATGGGATGGGATGGGATGGGATGGGATGGGATGGGATGGGATGGGATGGGATGGGATGGGATGGGCGCACTTCCATGAGTTGGCTCAAGTGGGTCGCACGTTCAATGGCAATGATACGTCTGACGACCCGGTGAGCTTATACATGCCACATGCCATACCCCACATGCCACATGCCATACCCCACATGCCACATGCCATACCCCACATGCCACATGCCATACCCCACATGCCACGCCATACGTGCCGGCCTCATGAAACATCAGAGGACCATCCATGAGACCATACGTGTGCATATTGAGACCATCAGAGGACGCTCTTCGCCTGGCCCAGCAATTGGCTCAAGTGGGTCGCACGCTCAATGGCAACGACACATCTGAGGACGTGGTGAGTGTAACCATGCTGACCTGACCCAGGGATCGGTCATTTAGGAGCAGGGCGTGAGGGTGCACAGCTTGCAGAAACCCGTCTTGTCTCACACTCGAACTGCCATGCCATCCCCATGCCACTCTCCTCTGCATTTCTTCTCTTGTCTGAGCAGGCTCTGGGCTTTTGAGGCGCCTCATTACCTTGTTGACTCACACTCGACCTGCCATCCCCATGCCGCTCTCCTGTGCATGTCTTCTCTTGCCTGAGCAGTCTAGGGGCTTGCTCATGGAGGAGGGGGTGAGGGTGCATAGCATGCAACAGCCCATCCTTTCTCACACTCGCACTCCCATCCCCATGCCTCTCGTTCTGATGCCACTCCCCTGCTCTGCAGGCGCGGGGCTTGCTTATGGAGGAGGGGGTGAGGGTGCATAGCATGCAGCAACCAGGGCTGCTGCAGAGCACGGACGTGCGGTTTGGGAGCAACGGGCAGGTAGGTCCGTATGTCCTTGCCTGTTCGTGCCTGTTCGTGCCTGTTCGTGCCTGTTCGTGCCTGTTCGTGCCTGTTCGTGCCTGTTCGTGCCTGTTCGTGCCTGTTCGTGCCTGTTCGTGCCTGTGATTCGTGACTGTTCGTGCCTGTTCGTGCCTGTTCGTGCCTGTTCGTGCCTGTTTCGTGCCTGTTCGTGCCTGTCCTTTGCCTGTTTCGTGCCTTTTCGTGCCTGTTCGTGCCTGTTCGTGCCTGTTCGTGCCTGTCCTTGCCTGTTCGTGCCTGTTCGTGCCTGTTCGTGCCTGTCCTTGCCTGTTCGTGCCTGTTCGTGCCTGTTCGTGCCTGTTCGTATGCCTGTTCGTGCCTGTTCGTGCCTGTTCGTGCCTGTTCGTGCCTGTTCGTGCCTGTTCGTGCCTGTCCTTGCCTGTCGTGCCTGTTGCCTGTTCCGTTGCCTGTTCGTGCCTGTTCGTGCCTGTTCGTGCCTGTTCGTGCCTGTTCGTGCCTGTTCGTGCCTGTTCGTGCCTGTTCGTGCCTGTTCGTGCCTGTCCTTGCCTGTTCGTGCCTGTTCGTGCCTGTTCGTGCCTGTTCGTGCCTGTTCGTGCCTGTCCTTGCCTGTTCGTGCCTGTTCGTGCCTGTTCGTGCCTGTCCTTGCCTGTTCGTGCCTGTTCGTGCCTGTTCGTGCCTGTTCGTGCCTGTTCGTGCCTGTTCGTGCCTGTTCGTGCCTGTCCTTGCCTGTTCGTGCCTGTTCGTGCCTATTCGTGCCTGTTCGTGCCTGTTCGTGCCTGTTCGTGCCTGTTCGTGCCTGTTCGTGCCTGTTCGTGCCTGTTCGTGCCTGTTCGTGCCTGTCCTTGCCTGTTCGTGCCTGTTCGTGCCTGTTCGTGCCTGTTCGTGCCTGTTCGTGCCTGTTCGTGCCTGTTCGTGCCTGTCCTTGCCTGTTCGTGCCTGTTCGTGCCTGTTCGTGCCTGTTCGTGCCTGTTCGTGCCTGTTCGTGCCTGTTCGTGCCTGTTCGTGCCTGTTCGTGCCTGTTCGTGCCTGTTCGTGCCTGTTCGTGCCTGTTCGTGCCTGTTCGTGCCTGTTCGTGCCTGTCCTTGCCTGTTCGTGCCTGTTCGTGCCTGTTCGTGCCTGTTCGTGCCTGTTCGTGCCTGTTCGTGCCTGTTCGTGCCTGTTCGTGCCTGTTCGTGCCTGTTCGTGCCTGTCCTTGCCTGTTCGTGCCTGTTCGTGCCTGTTCGTGCCTGTTCGTGCCTGTTCGTGCCTGTCCTTGCCTGTCCTTGCCTGTTCGTGCCTGTTCGTGCCTGTTCGTGCCTGTTCGTGCCTGTTCGTGCCTGTTCGTGCCTGTTCGTGCCTGTTCGTGCCTGTTCGTGCCTGTTCGTGCCTGTCCTTGCCTGTTCGTGCCTGTTCGTGCCTGTTCGTGCCTGTTCGTGCCTGTTCGTGCCTGTCCTTGCCTGTTCGTGCCTGTTCGTGCCTGTTCGTGCCTGTTCGTGCCTGTTCGTGCCTGTTCGTGCCTGTTCGTGCCTGTTCGTGCCTGTTCGTGCCTGTTCGTGCCTGTTCGTGCCTGTTCGTGCCTGTTCGTGCCTGTTCGTGCCTGTTCGTGCCTGTTCGTGCCTGTTCGTGCCTGTTCGTGCCTGTTCGTGCCTGTTCGTGCCTGTTCGTGCCTGTTCGTGCCTGTTCGTGCCTGTTCGTGCCTGTTCGTGCCTGTTCGTGCCTGTTCGTGCCTGTTCGTGCCTGTTCGTGCCTGTCCTTGCCTGTTCGTGCCTGTTCGTGCCTGTTCGTGCCTGTTCGTGCCTGTTCGTGCCTGTTCGTGCCTGTTCGTGCCTGTTCGTGCCTGTTCGTGCCTGTTCGTGCCTGTCCTTGCCTGTTCGTGCCTGTTCGTGCCTGTTCGTGCCTGTTCGTGCCTGTTCGTGCCTGTTCGTGCCTGTCCTTGCCTGTTCGTGCCTGTTCGTGCCTGTTCGTGCCTGTTCGTGCCTGTTCGTGCCTGTTCGTGCCTGTTCGTGCCTGTTCGTGCCTGTTCGTGCCTGTTCGTGCCTGTTCGTGCCTGTTCGTGCCTGTTCGTGCCTGTTCGTGCCTGTTCGTGCCTGTTCGTGCCTGTTCGTGCCTGTTCGTGCCTGTTCGTGCCTGTCCTTGCCTGTTCGTGCCTGTTCGTGCCTGTTCGTGCCTGTTCGTGCCTGTTCGTGCCTGTTCGTGCCTGTTCGTGCCTGTTCGTGCCTGTTCGTGCCTGTTCGTGCCTGTTCGTGCCTGTTCGTGCCTGTTCGTGCCTGTTCGTGCCTGTTCGTGCCTGTTCGTGCCTGTTCGTGCCTGTTCGTGCCTGTTCGTGCCTGTTCGTGCCTGTTCGTGCCTGTTCGTGCCTGTTCGTGCCTGTCCTTGCCTGTTCGTGCCTGTTCGTGCCTGTTCGTGCCTGTTCGTGCCTGTTCGTGCCTGTTCGTGCCTGTTCGTGCCTGTTCGTGCCTGTTCGTGCCTTTCGTGCCTGTTCGTGCCTGTTCGTGCCTGTCCTTGCCTGTTCGTGCCTGTTCGTGCCTGTTCGTGCCTGTTCGTGCCTGTTCGTGCCTGTTCGTGCCTGTTCGTGCCTGTTCGTGCCTGTTCGTGCCTGTCCTTGCCTGTTCGTGCCTGTTCGTGCCTGTTCGTGCCTGTTCGTGCCTGTCCTTGCCTGTTCGTGCCTGTTCGTGCCTGTTCGTGCCTGTCCTTGCCTGTTCGTGCCTGTTCGTGCCTGTTCGTGCCTGTTCGTGCCTGTTCGTGCCTGTTCGTGCCTGTTCGTGCCTGTTCGTGCCTGTTCGTGCCTGTTCGTGCCTGTCCTTGCCTGTTCGTGCCTGTTCGTGCCTGTTCGTGCCTGTTCGTGCCTGTTCGTGCCTGTTCGTGCCTGTTCGTGCCTGTTCGTGCCTGTTCGTGCCTGTTCGTGCCTGTTCGTGCCTGTTCGTGCCTGTTCGTGCCTGTTCGTGCCTGTTCGTGCCTGTCCTTGCCTGTTCGTGCCTGTTCGTGCCTGTTCGTGCCTGTTCGTGCCTGTCCTTGCCTGTTCGTGCCTGTTCGTGCCTGTTCGTGCCTGTTCGTGCCTGTTCGTGCCTGTTCGTGCCTGTTCGTGCCTGTCCTTGCCTGTTCGTGCCTGTTCGTGCCTGTTCGTGCCTGTTCGTGCCTGTTCGTGCCTGTTCGTGCCTGTTCGTGCCTGTCCTTGCCTGTTCGTGCCTGTTCGTGCCTGTTCGTGCCTGTTCGTGCCTGTTCGTGCCTGTTCGTGCCTGTTCGTGCCTGTTCGTGCCTGTTCGTGCCTGTTCGTGCCTGTTCGTGCCTGTTCGTGCCTGTTCGTGCCTGTTCGTGCCTGTTCGTGCCTGTTCGTGCCTGTTCGTGCCTGTCCTTGCCTGTTCGTGCCTGTTCGTGCCTGTTCGTGCCTGTTCGTGCCTGTTCGTGCCTGTTCGTGCCTGTTCGTGCCTGTTCGTGCCTGTTCGTGCCTTTCGTGCCTGTTCGTGCCTGTTCGTGCCTGTCCTTGCCTGTTCGTTGCCTGTTCGTGCCTGTTCGTGCCTGTTCGTGCCTGTTCGTGCCTGTTCGTGCCTGTTCGTGCCTGTTCGTGCCTGTTCGTGCCTGTTCGTGCCTGTTCGTGCCTGTTCGTGCTGTTCGTGCCTGTTCGTGCCTGTTCGTGCCTGTTCGTGCCTGTTTCGTGCCTGTTTCGTGCCTGTTCGTGCCTGTTCGTGCC